GAATGATACTCTCACAAAAGATTACTATGATAGTGAAACATGGATACCAGATTACGGATGTGCGATAAGATTTGCAGATTACGGATGTGCGACAAGATTTGCAGATTACGGATGTGCGACAAGATTTGCAGATTACGGATGTGCGACAAGATTTGCAGATTACGGATGTGCGACAAGATTTGCAGATTACGGATGTGCGACAAGATTTGCAGATTACGGATGTGCGACAAAATTTGCAGATTACGGATGTGCGACAAGATTTGCAGATTACGGTTGTGCGACAAGATTTGCAGATTACGGATGTGCGACAAGATTTGCAGATTACGGATGTGCGACAAGATTTGCAGATTACGGATGTGCACAAGATTTGCACGGATGTGCGACAAGATTTGCAGATTACGGTTGTGCGACAAGATTTGCAGATTACGGATGTGCGACAAGATTTGCAGATTACGGATGTGCGACAAGATTTGCAGATTACGGATGTGCGACAAGATTTGCAGATTACACCAGCAAATAGTACACCCAACTATAAAAGATAACACACTGCACCTTATTTTCAAAAATAATGATGAACTGATCAGAAACATAATGATCACAAATACCTGTCACTCGTATCACAAATTAATTAATTGAAGTTCAGGCAAGCACCATCACACACTATATACATTCACCATCAACACACTCAGAACTCCGTGAGTGTCAGCTGCCACACCCTCACTCCTCCAACATCCAGCCACTCCCAAATTCTAGAGGAGGAGAATTCAGCCAATGTAACTTTAATAATGAACAGATTAACGAGGAACAAATAAATCCAGACCCCACAGATACAAGCTGGGAAGAACAGCTAGAAAATTCAAACCCAAACCAGTGCCTCAAGAAAATAAGCTCAGTGGCAGTAGAAATATGCTCAAGCCGCATATCTCTAAGAAAACCAGTATGCTCAAGCCGCATATCTCTAAGAAAACCAGTATGCTCAAGCCGCATATCTCTAAGAAAACCAGTATGCTCAAGCCGCATATCTCTAAGAAAACCAGTATGCTCAAGCCGCATATCTCTAAGAAAACCAGTATGCTCAAGCCGCATATCTCTTAAGAAAACCAGTATGCTCAAGCCGCATATCTCTAAGAAAACCAGTACTGTATGCTCAAGCCGCATATCTCTAAGAAAACCAGTATGCTCAAGCCGCATATCTCTAAGAAACCCAGTATGCTCAAGCCGCATATCTCTTAAGAAAACCAGTATGCTCAAGCCGCATATCTCTAAGAAAAACAGAAAAGCGGAAGAGATGCAGAATGGAACAAGAACGTTCCCTCTATAGATGAAGAAAACAAATTGCAGAACAACTTTAATCAATGTCCCACCCTACCTCAAGAACAACAATGAAGGTTATGGAGAGAAATAAGAATGATTAAACTAAAGCTACAAGAATCATAAAATCCAGGAGAGGCAGATCGAAACCCGAAATACTATTCTCCAATGCAAAATCTAGAACAAATACTACATCCGAGTATTGAGCTCCTGTGAAATGGTGATGTAACTTTCACAGGTGACAACAAAGAAATAAGTGAAATACCGAGGCAACAGAATGATTCCATTTTCAGCGAGCCCTTAAACACACTGAGGATTGATAACCAAAACAAATTCTTCATCTATGTGATAGCAACATCAAATCATAAATCAGTTTTCACCCTAACTCCACTCGATTTTGAAATAACCGTAGACAGTATGCTTATACACTCTGCACCAGGCCCCGATTCCTGGAAACTCCACATTCATCAAAAACTAAAAAAAACACTATCATAGGCCCTAAACATTTTTTGGAGACGAAGCTTAAATCCTGGTGTTATCCCCAACATTTTCCCCAGTGGGTATTAGTCAAGACAGTAAAATCTGGACCATCCACTGTGAATTCTCGTATCAGACATAGACACGTTCACAAATTATACAGTATTACCATATCATCCTTTGCAGATGATACAAGGATTTATATGATTTATATGAGAGTAGACAACATAGAGGACATAGCAACGCTCAAAACTGATGTAAATCGGGCCTTTCAATGAGCCACAGAAAATAATATGGAATTTAATGAAGTTCCAGATCTGATTGTGTGTCGTTTGTGAATGTTTGTGCACATTAGTATTATAAGTTAGTGACACTCAAATAAATCCGTATAAATATATTCACAAATACTCCTGCTGCACTCCTGTCACAGGCGACCTCCCTGGAACATCTCGTCCAACACTCATGAAAGGCTGATGTTATTGCAAGATTTCCTCTCTCCACCACAGCCAAAGTAAGCTACACATTTATTTACTGTATTTATTTAACCCTTGCGCTGCGCACCCATTTCAGATAACAACTCTGTGCTGGCATAAAAAAAATCAAACATTTTTATAATGTTAAAGTATCATTAGATATACAGTGGAACCCCTGGCTTACAAATGCCCATATTTACGAATTTTTCGGGTTACGAGACCAATTTCATCATAAAATTTGATTCGGTTTACGAGCTTTGCCTCGAGTTGCAAATTTATTGATGCACGTATGGGTATTCTTTGTAAAGAATTTCAGCGTTTTTCAGCTTTTTGGGGTTTCTAAACAAAAATATTATATATAACGCCATGAGTCCCAAGAAAGTCAGTGGTAATGTCAACCTAAGAAAATACTTGTGAGTAGAGGCAGTAGAGGATGTCCTGTACTCATCAAGAAAATATGTAAAGTATGGGAAGAACCATAAAGTTTAGGATGGGAACTTTGTATGCAAAGTTTTGGATGGCGAAAGGAATGGATGGGATAGGTGCAATATAGGAGTGTAATGGGTTAGTAACAGGAGTAAGAAAGGGAGCCTATAAAGAGAAAGAAAAATAGAGAAAAAGGATAAGTAGGCTTATGTTAGTTCACATATGTTAGAAAGTTTAGAACATTTGAGTATGTACATAATAATTTACACTTGGAAAACATTAACCCCTTAACTGTGCAGTCTCCAAATATGACACCCTCTCAGTGCGCAGGAAATAAAATCTCTGGAATTTTTTTTTCTGTGTTTAATGTGTCAAAAACCCTTCCCTGAGTAAGGGTATAGTAACAGAAGGTCGAAATTGTAAGTACTTTAGCTGCTATGGGGTTCGTAACTTCGCGCGTGACGTCATCATTCCCTGGTTGCCAGTGGCATATGCCCCCGGGGCCGGTAGGGCGCTCGGGGCAGGATGCGCAAGTTGCCGCGAATATATTTTTGTTCATTTTCTGAGCACAGTTCCAAATACATTTTATATGCTTTTACGTGCCAATCCTATGTATAATGAACATGTACACTATATTATGGCAGTAGAACATCCGTACTGTCCGAAGACACTGTGTTACGTACATGACATGTGTACACAAATCTGTCACATATTTCCATTGCATTATGCTAATTTATGTATATATACAGTCTATTTACACACTATACACTATCACACACTATATACATTCACCATCAACACACTCAGAACTCCGCGAGTGTCAGCTGCCACACCCTCACTCCTCCAACATCCAGTCTCTCCCTCACTCCAACGTCTTACTCGCCAACATTGCTCCTCCCACCATACTGTTATTGTTTGTATTACACTATTTACACATGTTATGTATACCTATCTACATGTTTTATTCACCAGAACTATGCAAGTAAGCCGGTATTGTGTCCAAACTTTACAGTGGCCACCATACACTGCATGAGAAATCACACGGTAGCCAGCAGACGATGCTATGATTACGTCACCTCCCTCACCAAAATAGCTCCTCCCAACATACTCCTGTTGCTGTTACTACACTATATAAACACATTGTATATACCCATGTACATGTGTGTTCACCATAGCTAGTATGATGAGGAAAACAAAGAGTGCCTGCCACACAGTGTGGCTACCTCGATTCTCTCCCTCGCTCCCTCACCACAATTACTCCTCCGCTGTGGTGCTGTGGCTAGCGTTGTGAACATCGTGAACAGCATTGAATCACTAATATTTGAATATTGTGCACAGTCATTATTACACTCAGGCTCTTCTGTAATACTGGTACTATCATGGCTAAATAATACAAGTTATATATATATTTTGACATTATTAGGCGATGCTATGGTCACACGCTGAACAGCAGTGCTGTGAGCTCATGCTGCGTGCGCCGGCCTTGGTTGCTCACTCACTACTGAGAGACTCTCACCTGGGAATGTGGACCACAATTTTTTTTAAAGATGGCGTCTATTTACAAGAGCCCCGAGGAAGCTGATGTGAATCCCATGTAGCCGCGGAAGTTTTGAATGGAACGTGAAAAATACAAATAACCACAGGCGCATTGCGCAGTTAAAGGGTTAAGAGGACTGGTTCCAAATCTGCACACATAAATACCACAAGACCACAGGGCATGGCAGGATGTACAAAATAACCTTGTTGTAAAGCAGAGGTGCAATAGGCTTGCTGAGAGAGAAAACTCTATAAAGAACATCGAGAGAACATCAAAGACCCAAGATTTTTTAAACACTTCCCTTTACATATACGGGACATAACTGGCCAACCTCTTGCAGTGTTCAGAAGAGAACTTGACAAGCACCTTCAAAGGATACCTGATCAACTAGTCTGATTGGTACATCAGGCTGCAAGCAGCCACATCGAACATCCTGGTTGATGAGACCAGCAACCACAAGGCCTGGTAAGAGACCGGGCCACAGGTACACTGATCCTTGGAATCATCACCAGGTAGTAAACAGGTAGACAACCATAACCCTCAGTATAAAATAAATACCATATATGAACGTTTTGCATTTAAATTATTTTGATAAAAAAATGTCGAATTTGAAAATTCGGCAAATTTGGAAGGTACGATAGGATCTGGAAACAATTATTCCGGATCTATAAACTGAAAAATCAGTTTATCATTCAGAATGAAAAAGCATTCCGAATCAATAAACGGATCTATAAACAAGAATGCCCTATAAACTGAAAAATGAGTACTGTACTCACCATTAGCAGCCGCTAGCATCATTCTTCCTGTCAAATTTTTAAATATTTATTGTTTCACATTAATAACTTTCTTCTATTTTTATCCAAATTCAAAATATAACATGGATACATCCATGCAAAATCAAGAAACACACGCTTACTAGGATGTAAACACACAAAAAAATACAGTACAGTACCACAATGGCAAAATTATGCAGTGTGTAATCCACCTTTGTTTACACTTGGTAGAGATTGCCTAGACATAAACAAAGGCAATGCAAAGCCTTTCCCTCCTATAGGCTCTTACACCAATGTCACATTTATTATAACTATGCAAAGTCTGCATTACATTTACAGCATCAGGTGTGAATAATAGGCGTTAACAGTGAATCTAGCATCGAGGTTGACTGAATGTGTTGGACAGAGTTCGATCATTGTTGTGACGATAATTATTCAACGCTAAAACCCCCGATACAGCTCATTATTTGCGTCTGATGCTTTTGGCAGAAAACGGACTGCATGCATGTTGCCACGTAAAGGTTGTCGCATGGTCCCATACAATGTGCTAGTAATAAAAGGTAATGCTGTATATGCACTGTTTATTTAATTACTTGAAGCTATGCTTTACTCAATAAGTACAGAGATTTGGTTTAATAACTAAGAGGTAAATTACTGATAATATTGCATGTCATTTTCTGGCACATTAACACCTTAACGGTTTGCCCCCCTCGCTGCTCACTTAACTGCTTACAGTAATTGGTTCGTCTCGAGGCTCGGCTCAGTGATACCTTGATGTTTAAATTCTTTTATATGTTCAAGTTAATTTTACGTTTATATCTTGGTAAAGCCAAGAGAAAATATGAACGAGCAATTATCGTCTATTTAAAATAGAATACACTGTAGTATTTTGAACACGTTCCTTCAACACATTGATATGCCTGAAGCGCGTATAAATAACTGCCTTACCTTACCTTGAGGTGCTTCCGGGGCTTAGTGTCCCCGCGGCCCGGTCGTCGACCAGGCCTCCTGGTTGCTGGACTGATCAACCAGGCTGTTAGACGCGGCTGCTCGCAGCCTGACGTATGAGTCACAGCCTGGTTGATCAGATATCCTTTGGAGGTGCTTATCCAGTTCTCTCTTGAACACTGTGAGGGGTTGGCCAGTTATGCCCCTTATGTGTGGTGGAAGCGTGTTGAACAGTCTCTGGCCTCTGATGTTGATAGAGTTCTCTCTCAGAGTACCTGTTGTACCTCTGCTTTTCAACAGAGCGTATTCTGCACATCCTGCCATGCCTTCTGGTCTCATGTGATGTTATTTATGTGTGCAGGTTTGGGACCAGCCCCTCAATTATTTTCCATGTGTAAATTATTATGTATCTCTCCCGTCTGCGCTCAAGGGAGTACAGATTTAGGCTCTTTAGTCGGTCCCAGTAATTTAGATGTTTTACTAAGTAGATTCTAGCAGTAAAGGATCTCTGCACGCTCTCCATGTCAGCAATTTCTCCAGCTTTGAAAGGGGCTGTCATTGTGCAGCAGTACTCCACTCTAGAGAGCACAAGCGTTTTGAAAAGTATCATCATCGGTATAGCATCTCTAGTGTGAAAAGTTCTTGTTATCCAACCTGTCATTTTTCTTGCAGTTGTGACGGCTACTTTATTGTGTTCTTTAAAGGTAAGGTCTTCCGACATGAGTACACCCAGATCCTTTACATTGCTTTTTCGTTCTATGTTATGATTTGCCTGAGTTTTGTACGTGGTTTCTGTTTTTATATTTTCAATTTTTCCGTAATCATGAAAATCCTAGTGTCATCTGCAAAGGATGATACAGTGCTATAGGTTGTGTTCTGGTTTATGTCCGATATGAGGATGAGAAAAAGTACTGGAGCAAGCACAGTACCCTGGGGGACTGAGCTCTTCACGGTTGATGGGCTGGATTTTATTTTAGAGCTCAGTCACCCAGGGTACTGTGCTCTTCACGGTTGATGGGCTGGATTTTATTTTGTTGACTATTACACATTGAGTTACAAACTGGGCCTCCAGTTACAAACTGGGCCTCCACTATTCAACCAGAAATGGTTGCCATAATCCTCGCACCCGAACACGTATGTATATGAATCCAACGTTGACACTAATTGTAAGTGACTCCTTGTCATCCGTGGCTGCCCTCAACTCCCCAAGGCATAACTGTGACATGCTTGTGTCTGAAGCTTGACAGATAAACTTTTGCTCATAAAGGGGGAACTGATTACCATCTTGGACTGCCTTTGAGTAGCCTGAGGGCAGTAATATTCCGGGAACATCAACAAAATCTCTTAGACTTGAAGCAAATTGAAATTCACACCAGTTACTTTATCATCATCCTATTATGCAAGAAGAATTGCACATCTATGGGTCATTCAATAAGATTAACAGACTTCTAATGTTACCACTGCTAGGCTTAGGCTCGGCTACAAGTACCTCTGGGAGTTTGCGGCATCTGCTGATGTAATTTTGACTAAAAGTAAACTGTCAGCAGAACTATTCGCATACTTTGAGTCATTACATATTGGAATGTGAAAAAATTAGCAGATACAGTACTATCAATAGAATCCAAGAAATGCATAGGTACTCCATTTATAATGATGTACTACCAGGAATCTCAGCGAAGTACCCAAAATTTGCTTACTGAAGGTAATGCACCTGGCTACAAAGCTGCCGCCCAGTTGGGTGGGTGTGGAGCAAGACTAGTAACTGTGTGACTCACCACAGATGAAAAAGTGCCTTGTATAGAGAAAGTTGTGAGCCGTAAGTTGTGGTTCAATCACTTGTGATATAAAAAGATTATTGATATGTATATGTATTTGTGTAAATGATGTGTATACATGTACATGTGTATGTAACATTAACAATTGTGTAATTAGCCTCAGAAGATTGTAACTTGCTTAGCTAAAACGATCTATGGGTTAAGTTCCTGAACTGAATACAGTATGTGCCTCTGTAACCCTAAAGAGCCTAAATCTGTATTCCCTTGAGTGCAAGTGAGATATACATAATATTTTACACGTGGAAAATAGCAGAGGGGGCTGGTCCCAAACCTGCACACAGAAATAACATCACATGAGACCAGAAGGCATGGCAGGATGTGCAGAATACCCCCTATTGAAAAGCAGAAGTACATCAGGTACTCAAGAGAGAACTATCAACATCAGAGGCCTGAGACTGTTCAACACGCTTCCACTACACATAAGGGGCATATCTGGCCGACTCCTCACAGTGTTCAAGAGAGAACTATCAACATCAGAGGCCCGAGACTGTTCAACACGCTTCCACTACACATAAGGGACATAACTGGCCGACCCCTCACAGTGTTCAAGAGAGAACTATGAACATCAGAGACCCGAGACTGTTCAACACGCTTCCACTACACATAAGGGGCATATCTGGCCGACTCCTCACAGTGTTCAAGAGAGAACTATCAACATCAGAGGCCCGAGACTGTTCAACACGCTTCCACTACACATAAGGGACATAACTGGCCGACCCCTCACAGTGTTCAAGAGAGAACTATCAACATCAGAGGCCCGAGACTGTTCAACACGCTTCCACTACACATAAGGGGCATAACTGGCCGACCCCTCACAGTGTTCAAGAGAGAACTATCAACATCAGAGGCCCGAGACTGTTCAACACGCTTCCACTACACATAAGGGACATAACTGGCCGACCCCTCACAGTGTTCAAGAAAGATCTTGATAAACACCTCCAAAGGATACCTGATCAACCAGGCTGTGATTCATACGTCAGGCTGCGAACAGCCGCATCCAACAATCTGGTTGACCACTCCAGCAACGAGGAGGCCTAGGCTTGGTTGACGACACGGCCACGGGGACGCTAAGCTGGTTGATACCTGGTTGATGGGGTTCTGGGAGTTCTTTTACTCCCCAAGCCCGGCCCGAGGCCAGGCTCGACTTGTGAGCCCCAGAAGCCCCAGAAGCCCCAGAAGCACCTCAAGGTAAGGTAACCCTTTCCACCACTGCACATGGGATGGGTATGGGGGGTGCATAATAAAGGAGCTGAATTTAAACATTGATAAGCGTGAAATAAAGTCAAACGACCATATAAAGGTTCTGAGTTACAGTTGACATTGACATTAACTTTAGTTTTAGTAACAATTACTAACACAATTGTAACTTAAACCTAAACAAGGTTCATTCTTAATGGAAACATGTAATAAGCTTATCATATAATAAGCTTAACAACATACTGGAGTAAAGAATATGGACAAAAATGCAGAACAGAACCAGTGAAGAGCAAGGTTCAACACTATAAACATCAGAGGTCCACGGTTGTTCAACATACTACCAGCGAGTTTAAGAAATATTGCTGGAACAAATGTGGACAAGAGAAAACTATCTGACCAACTGGCCTGCAGTGGATATGGACCAACTGGCCTGCGGTGGATATGGACCAACTGGCCTGCGGTGGATATGTAGGCTGGTTCCCTGCTGGAGCAGGCCTGCGGGCCATTCCAAGCAGCAGCCTATTCGATCAAACTCTCACAAATCAAGCCTGGCCCCGTGCCAGGCTTGGGGAGTAGAAGAACTCCCAGAACCCCATCCAGGTACAATCCAGGTATAAATTAATTCCTAGAGTGAGGCTTCAGTTATCTACATCTGATTATCTTCAGATGTAGATAAGAGTTCTTAGCCTGCAGATTCTTTAAGGACATCAATGACTTTATTGTATCATAGTATTAAAAAAATAGTAAATTCCAAGACAAGATGTGCTTTTAGCATTATTGCAACAAATGTTTTCCTACACTACTAGGCCTATTCTACAAATTAATCAATAGAAAATTGCAGGTAAAGGATACAATTCAGAGGTTGAAAATGGGGAACAGACTTACGGAGAATGAAATGTTTTTGTGCAAAATTAATTTTATAGAGAACCAGACACGATGTTAATCCCAGAGAACCGCATAGAGCACACAGGTGTATCTAGAGACAAAGTGGAAAAATTCTCAAGGACCTAGGTAGGAACAAAGCAGTTGGCACAGATGGAGTTTTCACTT